TGCTTTGTGAGGAGATATACACCATGGGAAACTGAAATAAATTTAACATACTTATTCATTAAATATTTTGGAAGCATTTTTATAAAGATTTGTCTCTGCTTATTTCAGGTTTGGCTGTCATGCAGATGACAACAACATTCTAAGTGAAATGAATGAAAAATACCCATGCTCCCAGCTGGAACAAACTCATCATGAAATTGGGGTGAACAAGCAGGTTTCCATTTCTGGAGCCATGCAGGCTTGCATTTTCCAGGATCCCTTCACAAGCTAGAAAACTTGACATGAAAACTAGAAAAGTTTATTTATGGTGAAAGTTAAGATCTTCACCTAAGACAACAGCTTATATTTTAAGTAAATCATATATGGTGAGATTTCTTTAAAAAAAATCCAACAATCAAACCAACCACAAACACACCACCCCTCCCCAAAAAAGAAACTCAAAACAACAAGTTGGCAATTTGCCATCATCTGTGTGTCCCACTACAGTTTATGGTAGCATTTGCTGAAAATTTTCCAAACTTTTCTCCTTGCCAGCTTCCTTCAAATTTTGATATATATTTCGCCACTGTATTATCTGGCCTTTCAAAAAGTTGTGTTGCTCTTATGGCCTATCCTTCGTTTAAAAATACAATAAATTTAAAAGTGTTCTGCTACTCTAAGATGGGATATAGTAGTTTTCATTACTTTCATCCCATGAAAGGGATAGGCCAACTAGTATCAGCATTTTATCAGGCTTCACAACATGTACGCAAGGAACATAGAAAAAATACATGATGATGGAAAACCTCAAACTTGCTCTTCTTCTCATAAGACTTAACAGGCGTATGACAAAGTATTAAGAGCAAAATACATTAAGGACTTCCAGAACTTGATGGCTTATTTCTAGGAAACTAGTAGGGATTCAAATATTTCCAATCTATATGGTAAAAAAAAAAAAAAAAAAGGCTACTATCCTCTAAACAGAACATAGACACCAGTGCTTGTGATCTCAGACTTAGGAGCTAGCTGTTTCCACTTCTATCTTTAATAGCTGAATTGTCAAAGGACTGAAAGAACTACACAAATACTGATATAAGATTAATATATCCATAGTATGTGGCTAAACCATAGTATGTGGCTAAATGACTTTTTATCTGTTATATACGAGGTTATAAATCAGTTGCATAGGACAAATTGGAGTTCAATGTTTTCACTGCTTACCTGAAAAAATCTGTTTCAGACTGTCATGCTTTTAAAGCTAAAAACACTGTGTATTATTTTAAAAGGAGCACAACTGAAAGCCAATCTCAAAATATTACATTATACAATGGTACAAATTAAAAAAAAACAAACACCAAAACCAAAATCAAAACCAAAAACAAACTGTAAAATTCCATCTCTTCACATACTCAGGAATACCATAATTTCTTTTCTTAATGCTAAAAATAAACAGCAGCAAAACTTTAATTTAGCTGTTGAAATCAGATCAGTGGAACAGTTAAAATGAGCAATATGCTTATGAGTACACAGGCACACAGGCAAAGTAGATACCTTTAACAGGATATATATTTTAAGTACTTTTAAGAAGTTATATCTTCCATTAATGCCACACTAAAAACACACTCTATTTTCCTGCCAGAATATCTGATGTATCTTACAGTTCTACATGAAATATAAACATTCAAATGTATGATGAATTGGAGGAGGAGAGGGGGATTTGATAGTTATCTGTAATTTTGCAACATTTATTTCCTTTTTTAAAGGGAGATCAGTTACAGCTTGGAGACAGTTAAGAAACAAATGATTAACTTTTATATCTTTCTTTCCTTGCTTATGGGTTTACTTATGCTAGTCACAATTCAAGTTTGTGTGAATAACATGGGTGTCAAAAGCATTCCTCACATCAATGTTTGGTCATAAATCAAGCTCTTGTCCCCTTTAGCCTGCTAGCAAACCTCCTATTTCCCCCCCCCCCCTTTGGCTTTTTATCTACATAGTCTTACTTTAAGAGACACTTGCACAGGGTAAACAGAAATATATTTTCAGATAGCTTTCTCTATTTTGTATATAATACTTCCCATCTAGTGTACATGAAGAACCAAAAGGAAGAGTTATCACTAACTTGTTACTTCACTCATTAGGAATTTTGCTTGGAAAGGTTCAGATAGAAAACACTCTATAACAAGCATTAGAGTATAGAACATAGCACTGCAAGAGCACAACAGATGTCCCTTTCCAAAGAAAGGCTACATTGCCTAGATTTTGGTCCATTCACTAATGTGCCAGTTCATAGTTTTTGCCATGAATTATTAATGAACCATGATGGACAGGCAGGAGTAAAAGGAAATGAAACAGGTAAAATTAAGCCTGTGTTTGTTTTTTGTTGTTTTTTTTTTTTTTCTCCCTAGGTGTAACAAGAATTCAGCTATGAGAACTTAAGACAGCACAAGGTCATAGGGATGGTAGCCAAAATAGTCTGTATTTACTTGCTTGGACTTCCCAGATAAGCTTATAAACAACTTCTACCTCACAAATTTTGTAGTTTGGGGACTTGCTAGTCACCTGACAAAAAGGAACACATGAACCCTAAAACCCATTACCTATTTTATTTTCCAGTCCATGAAGTGATTAAAATAAGGCTTCTGGTATCATGGCGCCCAATGGGCAGAAGACACAGTTATGCAGAGCTGCAAAATATTGTGAAGATAAGCTGCGCAAGTAACACCTGTCAAAGACCGACATGTTTTAGTTTCCACAGAGTTAGCTCAAAACAGGACACTGTTCAATTCTGTTTAGCAGACAGCTCTGAGAAAAGTAATTTCGTAAAGAAGTGAAAAGCAGGGAAGTGCTGTCCCTGAAGCCTTGCACATGTGTGTGTTGCATATTTTGTACAAATCAAAGTGTCATCTCATCAGCCTTAAAAAAAGGGTGCTATTCTACAGTATTGCCCACAGTACTATTTTATTGCTATTGAAGCCTGTTGTACTTCAGACCAAAAGCTCTGTAAACTGTAGAAAGATTTTTGCCATTTTAATCATTATATTTGGATAGGAGTGTTATAGCATTCTTCCTAAGTCTTAATGAACACCATGTTTAATAAAGTAACCTGTTCAGAAATTCAGTTTATTTATTTTTGTGCACTTTTTAACAGAGGGGTTATAGGAGGACCTCAGCTAAACTTCCAGATGTACGCTTTTGTAGCTTTGAAGGGGAAACAGAAAACTAAAAGCGTGTAGGATATGGCTTCCCTCTGTAACTGCTCAAAAGCCAAATTGGAGCATTCTGAAATTTGCAGTCTGGTGTCAATAACTCAAAATCTGTGTCGGGATGTAGCCCATCCCTAGAACTACTTATTAAAAAGCAAGCAAACAAACAAACAAACAAAACCCAAAAGAAACAAACAAAAAAAAAAAACACACAAAAAAAAAAGTTCAGTCTAAAAAGGCTTGAAACACTCCAGGCAACAGCAGATCATTGCTTCTGATCATAGATGAATTTTTCAGCTCAGCTGTTTGGTCTTATCTTTGAATAAATACATGGCAATCTTGTATTATTGTTACCATGTACTTTGCATCAATAATGTAGCAACAATTCCACAAGTTCCGTGCTACAATTCTTCTACTTATACTCTTAGGCTAAATACTACTATTCTTCAAACTATTGCAAGTATTCAATCGAAAATATTTTGCCCCTAATCCAAGGCAACCACCCCCAAATCAATGGCATGGTAGCCTGTTCAAAATTTGATCCCATGTATTCTTTGCGAGTGTTAATAGCCCTAAAAGCTTTGCACCAGAGACGATTGTAGCACTAGTTTTACCCATCTGCAAACGCTATTAGATATTTTTCAGTAAAAGTTTTCTGCTAAAATGTACAAATAAGAACCTGAACTACTCATGTCTTGTGACAGATTAAAAATAGAGAAAACTTAAAAAGTTTTTTGCAGATGCATTTTGACCTAATTTCTATACCTATATATCCTCATATGCATCTAATAGATAGAGAGAAATGTACAAAATATAAATATCAGAAGTATGATACTTCGGTATCAGAAAGGGACAGAGGCCCCTTGCATTAACAAGCAGCTGCAAAACTCTTCTCTAATCTCCAGAAAACTTTCAAATAAAAAGCTTTTCAGTCACCAAAACTCTTCAGTGCAAGGACAGTGTGTTTGTCAAGTACAGTTAGGGCGTACATTGTGGGGGAAGCTCTTCCAATGGATTTTGCTGTAATACATGCTCAAAAGTGGCTTACTAGTATTGGCTGACTTCTCCAAATTCAGAGCTTGGCTGAAGCCTTCCCTGGATGTAAATTTTGCTGCTCTTTTGATCTACTAAGCTACCAAGAAGTACATTCCTCTCTCTCCCCAAATTAATACAATTTGTGAAGATTTGTGCATACCAAAGCTGCTTCACTTTCAGCCCAAGTAGGGCCAGTGTACACACCACCACAAGTAAACATACAAAGGTAAAAGTTACTTCATTTTATGCTCTAGGAGGGACAAGCATGAAGGCAGAGACACAAAAGGAAGGACCCTACTCTTTTTCTCATCACCTATGATTGCGTTTCCAGCATACTGGGTATGTTATTTAGTGCAAACTGAATTGCCATCAGAAGCAGCATGGCTCTAATATTACCTAACTAAATTAAAAGCCTCTCTTGTGCATATTACTGCAAGTAATGTTTTCATTATTGTATCAAATTCCCCCTTTTAAAAATCCCAAGGAAGGGCTTGAGGGATGAGAGCTTTATTTAATTACAAGTTGCTCAGCTGTGGCAGTCACTCCAGCAAGAGGAGGCCACGCAGACAATGGCTGTCCTCACCACCTCCTCCTCCCAGGCCTCCAGAGGTTCTCTGTCACAGGGCAGTTCAACACAAGTCCTGCCACTGCATTCACAAGCAGCCATGATCAGGATGGCAGACATGGCTAAGGCCCTCGCAGATACCCTCCTGCTTCCAAAATGGTGGGGAATCCACCACAGAAACATCATGCCCTTTCATCAATAAAAGCCTGTCCTACCTGTGTCTGGGAGCTGTGCCTGGAGGATGGCAAAGATCGCAGTCCTCCACTTCATCTTGCTTCTCCAGCAGTGGTGGGGAGCAGGACGCCACAAGCAAGGAGAAGAGGAGGTTCCTCCACAGGCTTTGCTCATCTGCCAGCCCTGCAGGAAGCTCTCCTCCTGTGAGTCCACCTGCTGGCAGGAGCACCAAAGCAAGAGCCTTCCTGTGCCTCACAGCCTTCGAGGGCTGGGTTTTACACTCTTGGTATTGATGTCTGAGGTTTCCTTTTGTATTTTTTCTTTCTTTTTCTCTTTGCAAGATGGTTTTTGGTGGTTGGGGCTTTTTTCAATTTATCTTATGGTTCCTAGGTCATCCCAGTCAGCAGTTGCTGATCTCTACAAGTAGCTCAGGAAGCATATCTGGAATCAAATTTGTCTTGACTTTGAAATACTGTATAACTGTTTCCAGTGTGCAGTGTGGCATAAGTAGGAGTTTGAAATGTAAGTTACAGTCACTCTTAAACAAGTAGCTGGCTAACCTGGTAAAGGTGTAAAGTTTATTTCTAAATCTAGTTGAAATATGGCCTTACCGTGAGAACTGAAAATGGCTGACTGCTCAGGGCCGAAGTGGCCAGCATCAGGGAGAGTTGGACTGTGCCCATTCTTGCAGACAGCATCCATGGGACATAAAACACCAGCACAACTGGCCCTGCCTGGCTCATTTCAGTTGTACCTGACTATGAAATGGAGATGCCTTTTGATGTGAACATGCTGCATCTTTCTATTTTGAAAGGGTGCTAGTGTGTGCAGAGCTCTGGAGCCATTTTGTCCTCTGAGCCATTGCAGCCTGTATGGAGGAGAGCCTGTGCCACCTCTGAGGGAGAGCACAATGTGCATCTCCTCTTCACTTGGCTTGAAACAAAAAGCTTGCAGCCCCTAGCTATGCATGCTACTCCTACCTACTGAGTGGGCCATGGGATTCAACCTTCTTTCTGCTTGAAGCTGTCCTCTAGCAACAGATCCCGAGGCAGATCAGTGGACCCCAGGATCAGGATTTGGAGGCTGCTGCTCTCTAGGAGCTAACAAGGCTTTTCAGTCCCACGTTGTGGGCGTGTCTGTTAATACAGCCCTTGGAGCAACATAAAACAGAGCAGGTCTGCCCAGCAGCAGCCAAGCCTGGTTTCCTACAGGTCCACATTCTCCAACCAGCATGGTGACTGCAGTGCTTCCCATATTGCCTAAGCCCCTGCCACCCCCTTGGCTATCCCCTGCCCACTTCTGTGTGGGGATTCATTTAGCGCAACAGCGGGGAGAAGAAACCCAGCATAATAAAAGAAAGGAAGGTGAAATCTGGAGGTTAGGATAGTCCTCCTGAGAAGGTATTAGGCAGAAGCAATTTCTCCAGCAAAGTCTTAGGACATTTATATGCGAAAGATCATACCACTTGACACAGTGGTGCCAACTCTCACTTTTTAAGAAATCTCACATTATTGTGCTCCTTTCAGATGTGAACAAATATAAATATTCACTTTTATTAACACAAATAGAAGGTACATTTTAGACAATGGTAAATTAGAAAGGCTTTAAAACATGACTTAGATGCACCTAAAGCTTAGCTACCCACCATCAAAATACAACTGGTTCAATGGAAGATTGCAGAGTGTTTACAATAGTAGTACTATTAATACACTTCAGGATGAGATCTTAGGTTGGGAGGAAGCACAAATACCTCAATGAATATACATATATTTTTCCTATTTCTAAGTCTAAGAAAAAGGAATGTGTATCCCCAGCAGGTACAGGAACAGGATTGGTGATAACTATTTCCCAGTAGTATAAAGACAACTTACAGGATAAGTTACTGTGCATTTAAGTAGTAAGAATTTATAATCTTTTGAAAGCAAATTAAATAGAAGTTCTTGGAAGAAGGAGACCAAGAAATTCATCACCTTGCTGCCTGAAGTACTGAAGGCTAAAACATTAATAAACCAGTATTATTCTTTTATTTAATAATTATTATATATTGTGTCAGGCAATACCAGAATTATTAGACACCAGTATTACTCAAACCTAGTGCCACATGCCATTCTGTAATACCTAGACAGTACATCAGAGTTTCTGTTCTCCCCAGTCTTGAGGAGGGTTTCTTTTGTGGCTCTCCTACCCCAAAAGCTGCAAGAGAAGGTTGTATCATCTCTGAATCACTGCCAGGCAGAAGGCAAAGCACAGAACATGAAAGCTGCCATGCACTAACCTGAAAGAGGTGTCATTGATCCCAGAGATGGCTGTGCTTGTGTATGAGTTCCATATTCCAGTGCAAGCCAGATAAAGCCTTTTCTATCCACTTCCCTGTGTGACAGAAGATTGGCTGAAATAAGGAATTAGTGAGAAGAAAAAGACCTCTGCTCCCACAGCACGCTCTCTAAATCTCACAGATGCCTTGTCCAAAAGCTAAAATAATATCATACTAAGTCTTGATATTTTGGGGTAATTGTATTTTCAGAGGAACAAATGACACTGCTCATCACTATTCCGCTGACCCGTCTCCTCCTGTTACTGATCATAGCTTCTCCCTCCGGCAGAAAACCCGCAAATTATCACTTTGAATAAAGAGTTGAGGCCAAAGCTAAGGAAAAGGAAAGAAGAGCTGTATAAGAAAGGGAGATTAACGGCAACAGTAAGCACACTGGGAGAACAGCAGTTAGGCCAGTGTATTTTGGTGTCAAATAAGGAAAGGTCAGAGAAATAGAGTATATGCTCTGTGCACCAATATGCCGTTCTTTCTCTGGACACAAGAAATCCTGGAACAGCCCTAATGCAATGGGCTGATTCAACCCCAGAAGCATCCCTGTTTCATGCTTACCAGTCATGCTTCTACTATTAAAAAAAAAAAAAAAAAAATGAAGAAAGGGCAGCAGAGCTTGCAGTTTTAACAGGAAACAAATGAAAACTAAAAAACAAACCCACACCACAGTCAAGCTGAGGATTAAAAAATACCTACACACTGCCCCCTGGTTCATGTATTGCTACCACAGAAAGCTCGCCTGCAATCATCACCACAGACTGCTGTAACTGAGAACAAGTCAGTTACCAAAAGTTCTCCTAAGCCTGTTTGATACAGTTAGCACTTGCAGACAAAATTAATTCCTACATCACCTGATGAAGGAGCTGGACAACTTTGAGATGGGAGAGTCCAGACAGACTGCAGTCTTGCCCCTGATCCAGCAGTACCAGGACTAATTCAACAAGTATTAAAATCATTTTTGGAGCAGTTCACACAAAGATAATGGATGATAAATAAGCAACAATTTTCTCCAGTGAGCAATCTGTTCACAAACATACTGTTCATGCAGTAAACTAAGACATCAAAAAGAGAAAGTCTGCTGGGTTTTTTTGTAAGCCCACAATTTTTGTTGACAAAATGTTGAGGACTGCCAGTCCTGCATAGCTTCACTGCATTTCAATGCACTGTAATGCCTCAGAGTGAAGCTTTGCTTTGGTCTAATTGGGTTCAACTGTGCTAACCACCTTGGAATGTGGCAATTAATACTTAGTTATAATTGCTGCATTCTCAGAGGATTAGTCCCTGCACTGCACTATTGCCAGCATTGCAAATGGAGAGCTGAAAGGAAAACAGTGTCTAACTACAAGCCTTGATTTGCAGCTCCCAAAAGGGAAACAAGAGAAGTTGGTCTTGCTACAACTGCTCCTCTCTGTGTATGAAAATACTACATTTCCAAGGGAAAACTATTTGGCTGTCACTCTTCCTTGCAGCTGCATTGTGCAAACAGAAACCCTGCCACATCCAACAAGAAAAAAGCCACAAACACCAGACACCTGTGCAGTATCATAACGACAAACACAGCCAGGACTGTATGCTGCCTATGGGAAATGATAAACAGACCCTGATGTAATGTAAGAATTAATTCCTATTCATTATTTTGATTTGCTTGTTGGACTTGGGGTTGGTTTGGTTTTGTGGGGTATTTTGTGACTAGCAGTTCCCTATTTCCACTATGGTCTTAAAATTTTTAGTGCAACATGGGTTTTGGAAACCTGTAAAGCATATGTTAGTAGAAAGTCAAAATGTGCCCCCTCTGAATACTCAGGTTTGAGACCTCTGAACCTTTCCTCCCCAGACAAGCCTTTATGATCTGCTCTGGATTTTTTATTTGTTAAATGCACTGGAGAGACCACTGCTTATGTCATATCTTAAGAAGGATGCTGTTTTTCCTTTAGTCAAGTCAAGCCAGTCTCTCAATCATTAACATTTTTACCTGTTAATTGCAGGTGAATTTCCGTCATTACCTTACAGCATGCGTGGAAAAATTCTGTGACTTTACCACCAAACACACATTGAGGAAATGCCATTTTTAATTATAGAGCACCTTCAGTATTTTCTTGCATTGGCTGTACTGAACTGATCAGTAGGGTTATGTCTTTCATGAATATAAAGTATTGTAAAGCCAGACTTTACGACCTGTGACAAGTATCTCCATTTATTTTCTTCCCCTCTCCAGCTCTAACACATACCTCTTCTGTATTTTTCAAATGCTGATCTTGGGGCAAACTTAATTAAATTAACTGAAATTCATTTAAGCATTTAAAGCAAATAAAAAATCCAGTTCATGCTTGATTAGGCAACTGGTTTGGGCTAAATGAAAACAGAAGAGAACTACACAAGGTTCTTGTAATCATATACTTCAGGTTTTGTGCAATTATTTCTGTATTTCTTATATCTAAACAATTGTTCATTTCAACCTAGAAACGGTTATTTTTCCATTACTGGGTGATATTTAATAGGTTCCATTGGCATAAAACATTATAGAAATACAAAGTATCTTCATTTTTTCACTAAAATATTCATGCTTACATATGCAATTATGTATGTACTACCTAGTGTTTCTTGAAAGCTTTTCCTCTGTGCATGCACATACACACACCCTCTGCATGGCTTTGTAAAGTTATTCTGTGTTTGTGGCAAGCAGAAGTATCTTGTTTTCAGAAAGGCATTCCTCTCATCTAAAAGTGCTGAGATGATTTGTAAGTGTTCTACATGAATCCTACAAACTGGGATTCAACTTGTAGCCTCCACAGAGGCTTCTAGTTGCAAAAGCTCGTAAGTCAAAAAGCCCTGGAAGCAATTCCAAGAGTTTTACATGAGAAGCTCATGGACTGAGCTTCCCAGAAAAAAAAGATACAATTGCTGGGTAGCACCAAGGGCCACCATGGTCAGCCAGGCAGCGGCCTTGCCACTGAGGTACTACCTATGCCCACAGCACCTTGTCAAAAATAGGGGATTGGGTGACAGCAACAAGGATCAGCCACAGTTGAGACAGGTTTGAGGTCAGGTCAGTGGGACTAGGCAAGCAGCAAGAGCCTGAGCCCTATCACAGCTCCAATGCAAACAGAAAAAGCTTTTCCAGGCTTTTCCCAGCTCTACCTCATCACCCAGATATCTGCACATAGTCAGGAGCGGCCACCCAAACTATGGAAGAAGGCCTAAAGGGCAACAAGAAAACCAACAAGATTAATTAGCTGTTGGAAATTACAAATCAGAATCATGTGGTTTGGTTCAGCTAATAATAAGCCTAAGCACTGTCATGCTTAACAAACACCCTCACTTCAGATTCTTACAGTAAGTCGTGAGAGAAATGTACACTATCAGTCAAGCCTGCAGGTGGCTTGTCCCATCTGATGTTCCAAGGCAATCTATACCTGTCTCCATTTCCTTTACTAGAGTTTCTTAATTTAAAAACCTTTAAATAAGTTTCATGGATATTATTTCTGAGCACTTGGTAGCACAAAATGGTTACACCCCCCGCCCCCCCCAAAAAAAAAAAAAAAAAAAAAGATGAATGCTTCTTTTTTAGCAGCTAGCACAATGCTGTGTTTATGGAGGAAAGCATTCATAATGTAAAACACTGTAGGAAAAGAATTTGTTCATATAATGCCTTAGTCGTATGCTTTTCCAGCACCTTTGAGTTATGATGAATTCAATAACCAATTTTCAGTATTAAACATTCAACAATCAACCCGAATATAAGTCTACGGCACCCTCTGGTGTTCAACAATAATATAGCAGTTTATTTGATTTTGAAACTTGGTCATGGTGTTATTCAGGAAAAGCCTGTTACAAATTAATCCGTTAAGTTATGATTAATACTTTTAAGTATTAAGTTATGATGAATACTTTTTGTATTAATCTAATACTCTGGTTAAGATACCTCTTTTGATTTTATTGTGAAGATCACAGATACAAAGTTAAATAGATAAGAAATTAATTCCAGACAGAACGGAAAAAGTGCTTCAACTAATAGCTGATGTACCTAAGCACTATTCTGCAATGATGTAGCATGTCACAAGAATCTACTGGGCACAAGTCTTACATTATAACACAATAAAGAAATGGAAAATCAAGGCATAGAAACACAAATATGTCAATGAGCAAGATAAGTAGACAAACAAAAAACAGGACTATATCATCAGAGAGACAGGCTGAGATTATCCTAATTAGACTCCTAGCTAACAAACATCCTGTGATATAGTGAGGTGCCTCAGTTTATTCCATATCTCAGATTCATAACCTCCTAAGTATGGAGGCTGACTTCCTTACTATTAGAGCTCAGATAATGTCAAGCATACCATGACAGAGGAAACATGTAGCCAAAATACTGATTCATTATTTACAGCTATGTTAATTTCTTGTACTTGGCCTTCCCTATTCTAAGTTATACTATTATTTCTGGATATTAAGAAAAAAAGAAACATGTTCAGAAGCAAATTCCTGAATAAGGCTAATACAACAAAGATGAGCACAAGGAAAAACAGGACCAAAGCTGATAACTTACCTTGAGTTCATGATACTAACTTTACATGCCTGTTACTAAGGGAGGTGAACAGAGATGTCCAATGTTCTGTATAATTGATACCCTACTCTGCTTTACATTCCACTTCTACATACAAAATCTCTTTATCCAAGTGTTCAGTGTGATGCAGAAATTCAGCAACCCCAAAGAGCTCTTCCTTGATGAACCCTCAAACCCAGCTCTGTATGTGCAGCTTAAATCATTTTGTTGTTCACCACTTTCCAAAGAAATATCTGGCTGGGATCCTATCAAACTTAAAACATGAAGAGATTTGTCAACGCAGGAACGATCAATGTGATCAGCGAATGCCAATTTATTACAAAGCTTTAACTCCTTATATACTATTTCTTACAGGCACTTACACTGATTTGGCGTATTATGATTGGATGCATGTCTTGAAGACCCTTAGTGACTAACACATAATTGGTTAAGCACAGGTGTGAGAACTTGACTTCGAAAGCTTGCCAACGGTCCACAGTTCTCATTAACTCAGTGAATTACAGCTTCTTCTTATCTTGCTTGCTTAAGCTTCCTCGGGCCTCTCACGGCCTTGCTATATCTTTCAGGGTTATTCAGTTTATGTGCCAATTATGCATTCTCTTGTGAGAACACTGTCTCCACAGAGACTGGATGATCTGAAACTGTTCCAAGAAAATGTAGTACATTACAAAACTGTTTAAGAATAATTGTTACCAAAAAAATGCCCTTCCATTCTGAATCAGACAAGACTTGGGAATTGGTACTAATGGGAACATTACATCTGACAAGACAACCAGAAATAAAACAAGTTTTATTCTGTAACAAACCCTCAAACTAAAGTGATTCTTTTAAAGGTATTGTACTGCTTTTGCATGACATAATTTTCTTTCCATAGCAGCTTGTTCGGAGCTACATTTTGAATTTGTGATGAAAGTGCTGACAACCCACCCATGTTTTAGCTATTGTTTACACAATGTCAAGACCTTCTCTGCTTCTCCCCTCAACCTCCTAGGGAGTAGGCTGGGTGTATACAAGGATTTAAGAGAGGACTTAGCTGAGACAGCAGACCCCAACTGACCAAAGGGATATTCCAGACCATATGGCATCATGCTCAGCATATAAAGCTGGCAGGAGAAGAAAGAAGGGGGGCTGTATTCCAAGTGATGGTGTTTGTCTTCCTAAATAACTGTTAATGCGTGATGGAGCCCTGCTTTCCTGGGTGAGGATGAACTCTTGTCTGCCAATGATACAGTCATCTATAAACATAGAAGGAATAATCAAATAAGGCTTTCTTGTACTGATTTCCACAAACTCCGTTGTTATTTTATGTTCCATTTCACAATATTAGATGCAGAAAAGAAAGTGAAGCATGAAAATGCTTATACCATTCACAGAGGGAAAGCCTCGTGCAAGTTTTTATATGGTTTTACCATATAAACAGGTTTTATAGTTTTTAAATGGTTTTACCATTTTTTTCTAGTAAGCATGAAAGACTCTAGAGCAACAGTAAAACAAGAACTCTGAAGAAAGTGTACTCAGGTGAAAGAGCATGAGGGAGAGAAATATTCTTGAACATGTAATAAATAACACATACCACCACTTGTCAAAAAAACCCCTTTAATAAAAGCACAGCATCATCAATCTCACACATCAGAAGTTACAGAGTGACATGCAATGCATTCAAGTGGCCCCATGGTAAGAACTGAGTTCATACCAGTGGATAATTTGAGTTTCCACAATTGCTATGCTTTATATAAAACTATTTTCTGGTTTCGCATTTAATGACAGTTATCTCTTCAACATAAATTGTTTCCATATTTTAAGTTTCAAACAGCAGGACAGAATGGGTTTGATTCAGTAACAAGTACATTTTTTCTCCTTGCAGAGAAGGAAAATGTAATACATTACACCAAAAATACTTTCACAAATAATTCCAGGAAGTAGCAATACTATAACAACATTAACCTGATTTGATATGATGAATTCCACTGTTCTATATATTGGTCTGCCTCTAAGGAGTCTAAGTTCTCACATTCGTTACTCTGACAACTAGGTAATATTTGCTCATTGTAAAATCAACTTAGTTTTCATAATCACTTTTGGGTATTTGTGAACCTAGCTCATGGTAGATGAGAGAGGAGGTAAAAAGATGTTAATTTATTTCTTTTTGTGGTTGTGTGTGGCTTATTTTAACACAGAATTAATTACGCACACCTTTCATTTTCATTCTCTACAAGTCATGAATCATCTCTATCATACTGTATTGCTTAGTTCTCACTTTTGGGTTATTAACCAAAAATTGCTGTGTAAGGCTTCGAAGCCAAGAGTCTGCCTATTTCTACTGCTACGGGTAATAAAAGCTGATATGTTGCTATTTGATCAGACTACCAAAGCTGAAGATTTCAGAATTATAAACAGAAAACATTTACCCTTTACAACATTCTTATTGAACTTACAAGCCATTACACTTTTTATACTAAAGACATGCTTTAGGTATTACCACACCCTGCTTCCATTAAAGAGTCAGGGCACATAACCACTGCCTGCTAAGAGTTACCAAGAACTTAATTCTGAGGTATACACAGAGTTTATATAAACACAAGTCATATTCTATAGCACATTCAATATACGTAGCAAAATAGAACAATGGCTCAAACAAGTGAATGTATTAGTGTGCAAAGAAAATTATCAACGGAAATTGGAAACTCTGCATATCATTTGCCATTGTAATACAAGCAACGCTTTCCATTCCACAGTCAGCTGAGCCATCCTGTAGTACTTTGCCATGAAGATCTAAACTAAACTGGTATTAAAAACAAACAAAAAAAAAAATTGGAAATGCTCACAAACCACTAGAACTAGACTAATCCTTTATTTTCCAGTAAACACAGCGTTTCTGAATGCAGATTGTCAGACAGATATCTTTCCAGAAGCGTGTCTAGTGAATAAGATTTAATTATGACTTACGCACAAAGGTTTCTGAGTATGACATGATTTAAGCTGTGCTAGTTAGTGAGAACTCACATTACTTCAGGACTATACAAGCTCATTAACAATGCAAAGTGATTTTTTTCATAATTAATTCAGCTGTACAACACATATTAAAAAATAAATCTTTCATGAAACAACTCAAGTAATTCATCTGTGTATCAGCATCAGCAAGAATCTTCTGCCACCTACAAAGAGTAAGAGCGAAACTGAATTGTGTGTTTACTGTGCTAAAATGATTTGAAAGTTTTAAAGACTTATTTTTATGTAGCTAACAGAACACTATTTCTCCATACCTGAACATTGTAATGATAGATTCAAAAGCATTTTTTTAAAAACATAAAGCAATATTGCTGCAATCCCATTAATATAGCTTCATAAGTGGTGAACAGTCTCACTACTTTTACCAAAACATCATTTGTCTTTCAATTAACTCAAAAAGGAGACAATAACTGTCCATTCTATAAGAGTCCTTCCTCCCAAGAAACTGTTTTTTAAGCCAAGGTACAAGTGCAGTTAGCCATAGATAGCTCTTTAGATACTATATTTGATATTGTTAAGTAGGTGGATCTCCTATTCAAGCACATCTTACGATTTCAGGCACTCCATCCAGTAGACTAGTTAGGGAAAATAAATGTGTATGAAAAAAAGAGACAATAGAAATTTGATATGCAGAATTTCTATAGGTTCTAAATATAATGAGAGCTAGTATGCAAAACCTCAGTACTTACTAAGGCTTGACGTTGTAATATTCTTCTGGCGTCACAATTTTCAATCCACCAAAGTAGTCCAGGACCCAAATATAGGTGATATTGAATTTGGCAAAGAACCAAGCGTGACCCTTAGGCCAACTTTCCATCTCAGGATGGCGACTAAATAATGCTTTTTTTGCTAAGCCTGCTTCTGAATCATTCACCTAAAAGATAATAACCAGAAAATACTACAGTAAGATACAGTCATGTGAAGACAAATTTTAGCTAAAAAAACACTGCTGACTGTAGTATGCTTTTTTCAGTTCAGCCAAGTCTTGTCCCAAAGGACTCACTATTGTGGCAGAGTCCCTCCATATTCAGTGGGGCATACCACTGTATGACACAGAAAAAAACTCCAAGGCAGTTGATTTTAATATTAAATCAAAAGGGTGCTTTTAAAGTAAGCATGAGTAAGGCAGTTCTTCATCAACATAAAAATAAATCTTTCAACAGATCACAAAACAGAGAAGTATGGATACTTCCTGAATGTGTGATTTTGCCTCCTATGCACCTGCTCAAACAGACACACATAGACCCAACAATGTTCAGACATGTGCAAACACATGCATATGCACATACACAAATAGGATGATAGAATAGAATCTACAGAGAAGGGAAGCTGAATTGTGTGGTGGCACTTAATATACAATGCGCAAATGTTTAAAGGGTTAAATCAACAACTTAGATGTCTGGGTACGCTACAAGAGGAACTAATTGAAATAAACCACACTGTTATCGATGAGAAACTTGTGAAAATAATTAAAGGATTGCTAGAGTGTAATGTACAAATATCTGAGGTGTGAAAACAACACAGCTCCTGCAAATATCAAGTGGTAACTTCATTTTTCTCACACCAACTATGATTAGCCTTCTCTTATCGTGGCACATAACATCTCTTCATATACTTTCACACAGAAATTCTAACCTTTTCTTTCTCCATCCACTAAACAATACTATTTCATGCACATAATGTTATCCAGTGTCAACTTTCAGCTACTTACCTTTACAACATTCCCACTGAAGATGATGTGGGCACACAGGGGATTCTGGGGATCATATTTGTGCTTCTTGCAGTAAGGAGTCTGTGCCAAAGATACAGTCAAGGAGGCATTTGAATTGATCTGAAATGCAAGCAGTAAAATAAGGTTTACATGCTTTTGCAAGAAAAATGTCATACCCATCATATTTTCAGCATTTTGTTCTATATTAAGTTCAATATTACTGGTAAAAAGAACAAAGCTCTTGTCAGCTTTTCCTAATTACATATGAAGGCCTTACTTAAATGAACTCTGAATGTGAAAGAAAGCCCAGTGCTCAAGTTTGTTAGTATAAAATACAAACATCACAAAACAGCACTCCCTAGAACTGTGAATTCAATATGCAGTCTAGCTATTTCACATTCAAATGATGACATTGCCCAGAGAAGCTGTGGCTGCCCCATCCCTGGCAGTGTTCAAAGCCAGGCTGCACAGGGCTTGGTGCAACCTGGTCTAGTGGAAGCTGTCTCTGCCCATGGCAGGGATTTGGAGCTAAATGAGCTTTAAGGTTCCTTCCAACCCAAACCAGCCTGTGATTCTATGATATATTCCAATTTACATAGACACAGCACAGTACAGAAGACAAGGACATACAGTGAACTTCATCAGTAAAAGGATAAAGGGTTACTAAAAAGGTAACTGAGTTTCATAACTGTTGATAAAATTAGTTAAAACAAAACCAAACATACAAACACCCTCCCCACCCAACATCAAAACAAGCCTCTCTGCTGCCTGGTCAGGTCTTTTCAAGTTTAAAGCTAATTATTAAAGGCAGGTTTAAAAAATCTTGGGTATTTAAGATACCAAATTTGAAGAATTAAAGAATCTGTATCTGATTGATTTACAAAAACTAATTTGGTGAACACAGCTTGACAAGTACTGGTGCAAAACAGGAATGCCTACCTCAAATATATATGTCAAAAAAGTCACTTGAGCACTATGCAGAGCCCTGCTGAACTGATGGAACAGGAGCAACCACCTGATAGATAGGAAGTTGCTTAACTACAGAAAAAGCTGACTCATGATTATTCAGCACCATCCCCGTCACACGTGACTGTCACAGTCAAATGTTTCTGCCCTCTAACAGCAGAACAAGGATCTATTGAAGAGCCTTCCATAGGAAAATGTTCGTTAGCAGTTTATACCATGATTTTTATCTTATTCTGGGATAGAAAAGATACTACGCAAGGTAAGTTAGGCTTTCTCCAGCACTTCGATACATAAGCTATTTCAACGTAACAAACTAAAACCTGACAGTGAACAGACAAAAAAGTTTACAGTAAAATAAAGTCTGAAAATTTCCATTATTTTTGTGTTTATTTCACTAACACCATAACAGTTGCTGGAACAACAAAAAAAAAATCCACTAAAGGACACACACAATCACTATTTCCCTACCTCTGTAGCCAACTCTCTTGACTTCATCCAAGTGACACATCTGATGAGATAGGGCCAATTACACTCAGAGCCTCAGCACACCTCCCATCATGTGCTTGCTTTTGCAATCTGCTCCAGAGATCTGATTACTATTCTTTCAATAGCCTGTATAAGAGCTCTCTTTGCTCAAGTCCCACACTGCGTATTTACAGTTGTTTTGGTATTTTTTGTGACATTCTCCATTTAAATATTCTGTGGCCCCTCATTCCACTGCTCAGTGATCCTGTAAGCTTCAGTCTCTTCCTCTACCAGGGTGGTGCTCAACAACTTCTCAGACCATGATCAGTAGGAACTTCTTCGAAGGACTGTTCAGCCTGGCCAAGAGAAGGGTCTGTGGAGACCTCATAGCAGCCTTCCAGTATTTAAAGGAGGCCTATAAGAAACCTGGAAAGGGATTTTTAACAAAGGCATAGAGTGACAGGACAAGGGAGAATAGCTTTAAACTGACAGAAGGGCCATTTTAATTAGACGTGAGGAAGTTCTTTACTACAAGCATGGTGAGCCGCTGGGACAGGTTGCCCACAGAAGCTGTGGCTGCTCCATCCCTGGCAGTGTTCAAAGCCAGGCTGGACAGGGCTTGAAGCAATCTGTTCTAGTGGAAGGTGTCCCTGCCTGTGGCAGGTGGTTGGAACTGGATGAGCTTTAAGGTCCCTTCCAACTCAAACTATTTTATGATTCTGTGATGATTCTGTGGCTACTAAGCATCAACACAGGCAGCACTGCCTATGTTCAGACGCTGTAGGACCAATAATTGCTCCCAGGGCTCAAAAATGAAGTGACATTCACAGGAAGGGCAGCTAGCAGCACCATTACATTACCATCAGAAAAGGCTGGTGTAAAACCTGACTCCTACAAAAGTAATCCCAACCACCAGTTGGTTCATTGCATTTGCAACCTGCACACTTGCAAGCTTTAGGTCTCCTTTACTGGAGTCACTATTTCTATCTAGGGCTTGAATACACTAGATCAGACCTGATTTTGCAGGGACACTGTCCTTCCCCACCGGCCCAGCCGCTCCTGCTCACCTCCAGGTCCTGCACGGAGATCTCCATGTCGGTCAGGTAGAAGTAGGGGATGCCGCTGCCGCTGAGCGGCCCGGGCGGCCCGTCGCTGAGGGAGAAGACGTTGGCGAAGGGGTAGCCACGCAACCCCTCCTGCGCGGAGAGCGTGGCCAGTGCGCCCCAGTCGCAGGTGTGCAGCACGAAGCGCGCCATGCGTGCCGCATCCTCCGGCGGCGGGATGGCCCCGTCGGCCGTCAGCAATAACAGCAGCAGCAGCACCACTACGGGGCTGCCGAGCTGAAACCCAAACATGCCGCACACGCCACCACAGCCTACCGTGAGGCGCCAGCCACCCCTCAAGGTCCTGACCCGCGAGTGGGAGGGCAGGCCCCACGGCGTTCCGCCAATCGGAACAACCTTCTTCCCCCCCCCCCCCGCCTTCACCCATTGGGTGAGGGAGCGCCGGGAGCAACCTTGTGAGTGGGAAATTAGCCAGTAGGCTATCAGCCAATGGCTTCGCCCTTCTCAGCCAATGAGAGCTGCGAGGGGGCAGGACAATCCCCACAGCTGCTCTCGGTTGTAAACATCCCGGACAGCCCTGCCTCTCCAGGGGGAGGAGAAAGGGTGGTATCCCAGCAGCCAATGAAAGACCTCTTTGCAACTCTCTACCAATCATATTCCGCGGCGCTTGTGGCCGCTGCGGATGGCAGGTGGGCTGAGGGGGATGCTGCTGTGCAGTGGCCCGAGGTGGAGTCGGCGACCGTTGCAGTTCTGGTCCTGCGGGGTCGCTCTGTCTGCCTTCCGGGCACCCACTTGCTCGCGGCCGGCCTGTCTGGCAGAGTGTGCGTGACTCACCCGACGTGGGCTATGGCGGCAGCGCAGTGCCCACCAGCAGCTGTTCCCTGACATGGCCCCCTGTTTGTCTGGCAGAGGTTGTGTGTGCCTCAGATCCGAAGGGGGGTTGTGGAACCATGGGCCCCACCACCCGTTGGTACAAAGTCAATCTCAGAGGCTGGTTCTGTGTCACCACAAGTGCCTGTGGCTCAGCCTTCCTTGTCCTTTAACCACAGCAAGCAGGGTCTGGGTGAAACTGGTTTGAGACATAAAAGCTCATGGGATCGTTTCCCACAGGGCACAGGTCAAGTGTTGCCACTTGCAAACTGCAGGATGTGTGTCAAAGCCATCTCTTCTACAAGACTTGGTGCTGCTAGTTGAACAACCTCCTGGCCTTCAAAGCATTGCTGAGAGAAATAAATACAGAAAATATACAGAAAATATTTACCACTTTTTGCTCAGTCACCTGATGAAGATTAGGATTAACTGGGGTAATACTGAGACTTGATTCAGCTTTTCGTAAAAGATGGTGTGGATTTCCATTTTTCCACTTTGATCTCACCAAGTATGTCTACACTACATATGTAATACCAGTGTAGCCCAGAGAAACCCAAATTAATTTACCATGTGACTGCCATCTGCCCCCAGGTGCCACACAGCACCCACAGTTTACAGCCCACCAGAGGGATCATTCTGTTTGGGCTGAATTCAGGAAGGAAAACACACCACAGGTCCATTCCCTGCCATTTACGTACTGTCCAGTTGTGTACAGGCAGAACAAAATAGTCCTCCAGTATTCCCTTGGCCTGCAGAGCATGGCCAGAGACCCCTGCTTTCCCTCTGGGACACACAGAGCCTTCCACTGATGCATTCTCCTGGTTATGCTCAGGAAAAAAAATGTGTTTTCTTAAAACTGAAAAGCAGAGGCTGATGAACCCCTGGTGTGCAACCACTGAACTGCTCCAGCAACTAAGGCAATACAGGCAGCCTTATTTGTGGTACAGGGCAAGTGATATTTCAGGGCAGACTGCTAAGGAGAAAAACAGCAATAAAAGGAATTATGAGATAACAGACTGCACAAAAGGTTGCCTTCAGGTATGTAGTATTTTACAACATATATAGATGAGGGGTAGGATTGGAACATACTGAAGGGACAAAAACAGGAGCCATTCTAAAGGAATGCAAAGATTATGGAAGAAAGGGATGAAAATGGTCTTGAGGGAATGGCTTGGGGAAGAAAAGGGGGTGAGAAAGACAAAATGCAACAAACCCTTTTTGTTACAGATTTTTTTAGCTAAAAGAGAGACACAGCTTCCTCTTTTCTCTCCCCACCAACTTGTGTGTGCATGCACAGAAACTGTTTGTTTCTGTTCACTTCCAAGCAGTCCTGCCCTCACAGCCTGAGGTGGGGAGTGTGTTTACCTGATGTAATGAAAGCGACAAGTGTATGTGGGGGGGTGAGTTTGTGAATGATTTTACTGGGGAGCAGGAGAGAGTGACAGGGAGCAGACTGCAGGTGTTTGGTTGTGTCAGCATAGGAAAGAGGGGTTACCATGGAGAGTATATGGAAGTAACATGTGCCTCAGGGAATAAAAAAGGGACAGAGAGGAAAGAAGATAAAGGAGATGTGGGAAGCAGAGCTGGCCATTTTTTGTTCTCTCTTCTGGAAAGCTTTTATGTTATGGAGTTTAAATGTATGTATTTGTGCTCATGGCTGTCCTCCAGGAAGGGTGCACCTTACTGGAGCTGTACAGCCCCTGTGGCAGGAGAGACAAAAGTGAGCCTCTTAGTGTGGAAGATCATCCCCCCCACCACTGCTGGGACCATATAATGGAATCTCAGGGCCCAAGACAAAACAACCTGTCCAAACAAAGTCTGCCCACTTCTCTCCTCCCTTTCCAGCGTTGTGGTACGTGTACAGCCATCCCTGTCTGCAGCCTCCAAGGGGTGCTGCTGCAAAACTCAGTGACCTGCAGGATTTGGGATGATGAGCCTGGTGGGGATTCAGCTCCCAACAGGATTTATGAAACAAATAACACTGGCTCTCCATTAGGGAGAACAGGATTTGTTAGACTCAGTGGCCTCTGCAGTGGGCAGTGGACAGCAGCATATAGGCCGTCTTGCACACCACACAGAATGAAGAGGGCTTGTTTTGGTGACCTCTTTCTTGGATGGGTATCATGGAGTGACCCTAAGCTGGTGAGGGATAAGGTCTTTTAACTCTTTCAGCTTGCTCTGAAATCTCCAGGCTCTCACTTCCTCAGCTAGATCTCAGAGAAAGGAGAAGGATTCTCTCTGTTGTGATGCAATATGTCTAGGGGCTTCCAGTGTCCTTGCATAACAAGGTCAAGAAAGTATTGCTAGCCACTAGTTCTCTTTTTCAACTCTGCTTATGTTCGTAAAAACCCCTAGTAAATAGACAGTAACATCTCACGGTAGATAAAGCCAGTTTACTCCCTCCAGGGGCTGGCCAGTTCATGGAACCATCTTAATTTCAGTGTGGTTTATATGGGATGGGCCTTGGGCTGAATCTGGGGGCTGTGTTGCTGGAGAAGGTGCATTTCAGCCGGAAAGCAAGCAAGGTCACCATCCTATCTAGTGTATTATTATGCTCTGCCTGCCCTCCTCATAGCTGGTTTTGCCTTGAACCAGCTCTCTGTTTAGATAGCATGGTTGTTGGATGGGCTGGGCAAGGTTTCTCTTCAGACACAGTCTAGCTGTGTGCTGGGCCTGGCTTCCTGTCTAGATCATGCAGTCTGTCTGTGAACAGAAACTTTTCTTTGTCCGGGTAACACTTGCAGGCTGTGCAGTCTCAGTGGATGTAGTGCTTGATCTCTGAGCCAGGCCAGCTGTCTGCATCCCGATGACAGCCAGAGTGATTAAAGTCACTTGCCACTGCATTTGACTTAAACAACTGACCTGTGAGTCATCTCTGGCAAAAGCTGAAATACTCTGTGCTTTGAAGTGCCAACACTCTGCGCCATATGAAACCCATCATGCAAATTGTTTCTAAAAATGTTGGTTAGATATCCTCCTGAGGAGATAGCAGCACTGTGGAACAATGCAGTGCTACTGCTATCAGGAAATTGCACACGACACAGGTCTTTGCTGAAGACAGAAAGGTGTTGTGTGCCTGTGTGTAATGCGTCTATTTGTTCTTGCCCTCAAAGTTCCCGAATTAAATTGGTTGGGAATTTAGCTTCTGACCCTTTCATCACTGTATTTTTTGAAGATAGGTAAAATTAATATAGCATTGTCCTGATACTCAGCTGAAAGTCCTTTTATGTTTTTAACAGTCACCACACAGGCATCGGCAAGGCAAACGTCCTCTGTGCATAACCTGTTAGGGACCAGAAGAGTTATTCCATGTTCAGTCTAAAATTGTCGCTGTTCAGTCAGAGCTTGGGCTACATGCTGAGGAAGATGTTGTGAAGGATAGCTATGATACTAGGATGTTGAGAGATTGGCAGCAGGACTGACTTGAGAACAACATAATCAAATCTATGCTTGTATCCAGCACAGATACCTGGAATTGTGTCAGCACCCATGTTCTGGCTGTAACTTTTTGTTTCTTTATATTAACCCTTGTTGAGTTTTAAAACTAGTAACTGGTAGAGGAATCGTTCAGTCTAAAAGCAAGCTGTCAGTGGCTGATGCTTATAATATTTGTCCCATCACTATATTAATATAATGGGATGCAGCCATTGTCTCTTAATACCCCAGCTAAGTATGTTCTCTGAAGTCAGGTGATCAGCAATGAAAGAAGAGCTCTCCAAAGAAATTCAGGTGCTGCAAAAAATGGCACTATTTACCTGTACACCACCCACCACACACACACCACCCTAGGTGGCCTGATACGAGTTGGGGTGGTCCACTTCAGCGCGTTCTCCTTATTACAAGCAAAGCATTGCAGGTGAAATGCTCTTTGTACAGTGCTGCATTTTTCTAACTTTACTCTGCTTGGGGACAAGCTTTTGCCCAGAGCCTGGGAGTTAAGAAGCCTGGTTAGTCTGAACCATGATGTTAGCAGACAGGCACAGGCCAACTGTTGGGAACATGTGAAATTATTAGATCTTTCTATTAGTCTGTATCACCTACTTTTTTATGTGGCTACCACACAACACACAGAGTCTCACCCTCCCTGTCCAACACAGCTTAGCAAGAATCACTTGCAACCATGTCCTTTCACTTAATTCAAGCCTCTTTGCTAATGGGTCTTTCCCATTCACATCATTCCCAGGGGTGCATGGTGCCTGGCACGTGAGCGTGTGTGTGCACGTGTGTGCTCCCAGACAAGCATTGCTGCAGCTGCAGAATTAGAGCAAGAAATGTTGATGGCACAAAGCATTCCATCTGACTTCATTTCCTGCTGATAACTCCGGGAAGAGGGAGGGTGAGGCTTAGTGTCCACAGTGTGAGTTTAATGCTGAGGGCAGGGTCGGTGGGAGCAGATATTTCAGGACACAGTTAGCAGAATGGTGAGTTCAAGCAGTGAGTTTCCCCTAGAAAACGCTGCTCACGTTCACTTCCAGTCATCTTGCCGTTGTCGGAGAAGCTGATGCTCAAACCCAACCCAAAACAGGATGTTGGCTTTCGGAGTTGATTGATCTTTGAAATGCAAATGTTTTCAGTTTTTTTCTGTGGTTACTTTATCCCCCTGTTTGTTTCAGTTGAGAATTGAGTTGCTCGAGTGGGAACAGGAAGGGTTGAGACCTCATTTTAAGGGGGTCAAAAGCCCAACATGGGAACATCTGTTGGTTACTAGTATGAATTCTGGGAAATTACATGAATAGCAGCAGGCAAAGCCAGACAGAGAGGTGGACAGAACAATCCCAGATACTGGCACTGACAAGAGAGCTCTACTAAACCCTCAGTTCATGCCTTAACAAAGTACAGAATTTCATTCTGTCTTGTGGGGACCCACAGTTCCCTCCACCCTTTGCTCATCCACGGCCCTGACAAACACACCTTCCCACACTGGGCTCCCAGACACACCTGAATGAGATAGCTGCGCGGACACAAATATCAGAGTTTCAGATGCCCTCAAAAACTTTCTTTCCTAAGTGGTCTCTAAAGACCTGTCATGTCCCTGCATTTTCTTTCTGTGGATTTAGCACCCTGTGGAGGCCCCATTGTCCATACTTCATAGCCAAAATGCAAGAGGTCACCAAATATTGCACATGGAAATGGAAACTATAGCAAAACATTCCTGAGGATTTTTTTCCTGTCACCCCTGAAGCTTCTCACTTTCAGTGCACAAGTCACTCCTTTCCTGTGAAGGGAGAGCATTCTGCACTTTCTGACCTGGTAGTGTGAGGCGGTGGAAGGAGCTAGTCCTGCTTTACAACTAGCAGTGACTAGCAGTGACACCTTGCATGGCAACCCCCCTTCTGCTTTTGCCCACATTATTGCAGCTCCTGTCACAGTAGAGCCCTTATCTCTCGTTTAGGAGAGGACCCAGCAGCACAGAAGTGTCGTCCCTGGGAGTCCCAGCTGTGAACTAAGACACCAAAGCCTTCTGGTCAAATACAACAATCACCCTTGCACTGCTTCTCTTCTGCCTCTCTGATCACCCTAAAGACAGTCCATTGCTGATTGAAATTACCTAAAAGTGTGAAGGAAGGGAGAAGGGAAGCTGCAGTGAGAGGGGAAAGAGTCTCCTAACAAATAAACAAAAAGGAAGACACCCTGCAGACTTGGAGAGCGAAGCATGGTCAAGGGAGAGATCCAGGCAGAAACACCGGGGCAGTTAACTGCAAGCAATGGAGAGAAATAGAGGCAAAACAGGGTGTGCGTGTGTGGGGGGAAGTAAAGATGAGGTGACAGAAAATAGGGGAGAAAGGAAGGGAGAAAGTGCAGGTGGTGTCCCCAAGTTTGGGAGCAGCAGCAGAGTTTTCTGCTTGTTGTCTCATGAGCCTGGAGCTCTGGGAAGGACAGTATCTGTTTAGATTTGTGTCTAAATTTAAACTCTGATTGCCTTGCCTCCCCCTCCTCTCCCCTCCCTCCCTTCCTCTCACCAACCCGCCCTTCCTCCTTGTTGGTAGTGCAGGGCCACTTGCTGGGCTGTGTCAGTTATCAAGCTGAGCACAGCCTGA